GTTCTGTGCGCACGATCTACAGTCATACTGGAATCCCCCAAGTCATCGGCTCCAAATAACTCCAGTAGCAGGTCTTTGATGAATCGAACCGGATTTCCGGCCTCCACTCCTTGTGGAATCCCGACGAATCTTAAATTCTGTCTCCAGCTACGATTCTCCAAATCCATACATTTCTCTTGCATTTTCTTGTGTTCTTTAGCCATGCGTTCATGAGACTGTTCAAGTACTGCCACTCTGTCCATCGTGTCACTCAGGGTTTTCCCCATCTCCATGCACTCATTTGCCGATTCGGCCTGTGCTTTGTGTAAGGCGGCCAGCTCTGGAAAGATTTCCTCTCGTAGCACACGCAGGTCCTCTTTCATCTCCTCTCGATTCTTTTGCATCTCCAGATGAAGGCTTTCCATTTGCGATTTAATGTCTTTAATCACTGCCTCACGATGCATATGTAGTTCCGCTCTGAGTGCACTCAACGAAATAGGAGAATCGCCGTCGTCTTCGTCCATTTTTCTCTCACTGCTTTCTGCTTTTGTATTGGGCTGGATTGTCGATGTAACTTTTTTGCACAAGCTCGGTTTCATGTCGAAAAGTTTGTTGTTATGACTCTTTGTCAGAAATGTACAGGCTTTACTTGGTTGATTAGTCTATTTAGCAATAATTTGTTATTTATTTGAGGAGCTCCCTTCTGTGCTGTTCACTCCATGCGGGCGGAAGCGGAAGTTCCAGGGATAACTTTCTAGAGTAGACGGCAAGTGGATGGAGTGTATGAGGCTCTCCGTGACGTTGTGACAATACCAATCCTACCCCCACTGTTAAAGCATCCACGAGGAAAGGGAGTTTTGGATCTGAATGAACTAAGATAGGAGTGGTGCAAAAGGCATCCTTGAGTTTCTGGAATGCATTGACGGCGTCGGGAGTCCAGAACGGAGACTTGGGCTTATTCTTTAGCAGTGAGGTGAGAGGTGCACAGATCTGACAGAATTTGGCGATTAAACGGTTGTAGAAATTGGTAAATCCTAGGAATCTTTGGAGTTCTTTGATGGTGGTAGGTTGAGGCCAGTCCTTGACAGCTTGTACCTTCCTCTGGTCCATGTGAATGCCTTGATGGTCGATGATGTAACCCAGGAATTGGATGGTGTCACTGTGGAACTCACACTTCTCCAATTTGAGGTATAGATGGTTTTCTCTCAATTTCTCGAGGACCTGTTTCATCTGGTGGCAATGTTCGGCCAGGTTCTGGGAGTAGATAAGGATATCATCAATGTATACGATGACAAACTGATGGAGGAACTCCCGGAACACCTCATTCATGAATCCTTTGAAGACAGAGGGTGAGTTGGAGAGGCCATATGGCATCACCTGGTATTCATAGTGGCCTGATGGTGTTATGAAGGCGGTCTTCCATTCATCACCCTCACGGATCTGAATGAGGTTGTAAGTGCTATGCAGGTCCAGTTTGGAGAAGATGCAAGCACCACAAAGCTGTTCCAGGGTGGCTGGGACCAGAGAAAATGGGTAGTGATATTTGACAGTTTGTGATTTCAGGATACGGTAATCGATGCATGGCCTCAAGCCTCCATCCTTCTTGCTGATAAAAAAGAAGCTGGATGTTGCTGGTGAAGTAGAAGGGTGGATGAATTCCTGCCTGAGAGCCTCCTCGATGTACTCCTCCATGGCCTTCTGTTCCGGTATGGACAGCAGGTATACTCTACCCTTAGGTAGCATGGCCCCAGGCAGCAGGTCAATTGCACAGACCCATGGCCAATGAGGTGGTAATTCCGTTGCTGCCTGCTTGCTGAAGACATCCTGGTGTAGCGTCTGCGTAGAATCATGCATGATCTTTGATGCTAAATTACTGCTAGCACTGCATAAAGAAGGTCAGTTATTCTCCTTGGCCAGGAAAATAATCTTTCCTTGAATTGATAAATGATTACATTGTCTGCTCGGTGGACGGACAGATCAAGTAATGGTGATATTGATTCTGCTACAGTTAATTCGAAGATCTAATCTAAATATTTATTATTAATCATATGCAGATATAATTAGTCATAAATATTTCCCTTTTGAGCTGATTTACTACACTGGAAAGCCCTGTAGTCAGGTGGAATCTCAGGAGTCTTCGAGGTCTCTGGACTCTCCACAGTCGTGAGAATGGAGCTGTAGAAAACTTTTTAACAGGAGACATGCTTTTATGGAGACAATCACCACTCCATTGGAGGATTTCACCAGTGTTCCACTTGACTTAAAGGGTTAGTTCACCCAAAAATGAAAATTAGCCCATAAATTACTCACCCTCAAGTCATCCTAGATGTATATGACTTTCTTCTTTCAGACGAATCCAGTCGGAGTTATATTAAAAATTGTCTTTGATCTTTCAAGTTGTTTCATGGCACTCAGCGGGTGGTGCATGCATCAGTCTCAGAAGTGACTCACACGCGGAAGCGCAGGGGAGAGATCAAAACAATTTTTATTTAACTTCTTTTGGACTGATGCATGCAACACCCGCTGAGTGCCATGAAACAGCTTGAAAGATCAAAGACAATTTTTTACATAACTCCGACTGGATTCGTCTGAAAGAAGAAAGTCATATACACCTAGGATGACTTGAGGGTGAGTAATTTATGTGCTAATTTTCATTTTTGGGTGAACTAACCCTTTAAGGGGGATGTCAAGTCAGCCAAGGATGTCCCAGGATGATATTAGCAGTAGAACCGTCCAGCACCAGAAAGGAGATGGATTCCTGATGCAGACAGCTGATGTGGAGCATGATGGTAGAGGAACAGCATAGGATCTTCCCACTGCCCAGCGGTTTTCCCAGGATAGTGTGAATGTTGAGTGGTTGAGAGCACATTTCCCTCTTGAGGTGTAATTGTCGTAAGAGATTCAGTGAGATGAAGTTCCCGGAGGATCCAGAGTCGAAGAGGCCTTGCGCTGAAACAGATTGGTTAGCAGAGGTTACCTGCACCATAGTGCGTGATAATAGCGCAATCATAGGTTACAATTGTAGGGTACTCACCGCTGGGCATGGTGGACAAACTGGGCAGAGGGACATCAGATGTCCTGCTGCTCTGCAGTACAAGCACAATCCATTAATTCTTCCGTTGATGCTCCGCACGGGTGAGATGGTATGGATCAATCTGCATTGGTTCTGGTGCTGGAGGTGAGGTGGGCGGAGGTGATGCAGCAGTGCCTTGAAAATTGCCGACTGTGAGGTGTTGAGAGATGCGCATGAAAAGCTCTGAATGAAGTTCTCTAGCCCCACAACATCACCATAAATAGCCATTTGTTGACGGATGTTAACATTCAGCCCTTTTCAGAACATGGTGATGAGCGCTGCTTCGTTCCAGCCGCTGGTGGCCGCAAGAGTGCGGAACTGAAGAGCGTAATCATTCACGGAAGATTGACCTTGATGTAACCGGAAGAGTTGGTCGTTGAATGATAGTTCGTTGGCACTTTAGCCAAAAACTTCCTTGAAGTGAGCAACAAAGGCTGTGAGCGAGTTTGTGATCAGGCCGTGGGCATCCCAGACAGACCACACCCACTGTAGAGCACATCCAGACAGGAGCAAGATGATGTATGTGATCTTGGCCCGATCTCTGGGGAGTAATTGGGGTTGCGTCTCAAACAATAAGGAGCACTGGAGTAGGAACCCACTGCATTCCTCCGCCTCACAGGAATATGTCGTCGGACGGGCCATGGGACTGACGGAGGCAGATAGTTGAAGAGGTGGTGAGTGAGTGAAGTGAATGACAAATGGATTGGACGAGCTCAGCAAACAGATCCGGGTTTGGATCACAGTGTTGATTTGCATATTTTGCGGTCTGGTCTTCTGTCAGCAAACAGAAGAGGACAACACCGGTAAGTACAGTTCAACAGAGTTTATTAATTGAGGCTTCTGCAGAGGAGAAAGCGATGATCACAGATATGGATATTTTTGGAGAGTTAAGAGCATAGACTTAGCTGAATAATCACACTGGTGTCTTTGCAGGTGGTGATGGACCCAGAGAGCTGAGCAGACGACAGAAGATGAACAGGTAAGTAGATCAGGTAAGGAGCCAGGGAGGTTGATGCACGCATGTGAACAACAACACCAGACACTGAGGAATGGATGTGATGGTGGCTTTTTACCGGGCTTGATTGGTGTTGACAGGTGGAGTGCATCAGTATTTGGGTGATTAAGAATGAGTGGGAGGAGCTGAAGGATCTGGCGTTGCTGTTGACTCCATGACACAGACATGTGTAGTAAATCAGTAATTCATTACTGCCCATAGGTTTCTGGAATATTTCTAATTTACTTACTTTTACATTTATTCATTCAGCAGGAGCTTTTATTTAAAGTGAATTACCAAAGACAAAGACTACGAGCAACAATATGGCAAGTTTAAAATCTAAACTAGATTAGTAACACACTAGAGCAAAAGTGTAATGCAGAAGAGAACTTATTGTAACTTTTACTTATTGGAAGTATATTTCAGGGACTACTCTAATTTTAACTCTAATAATTTTCGGTAACACTTTATTTCGATAGTCCACTTTAGACATTCTATTAACAGTAAGTAACTTTGCAACTACATGTCAACTAGCAGTTAGTACAGTATTAGTAGATTGTCTGCTTAATATCTTCTAACACTCTCTTTGTCAACATTCTACTAACCCTAAACCTACCCTAACAGTCTACTCTGAGAGTTAGTAGACATGTAGTTGCAAATTAATGAGAATTAGTTGACATGTAGTTGACATGTAGTTACAAAGTTACTTATAGTTAATAGAATGTCTAAAGTGGACTATCGAAATAAAGTGTAACCTAATTTTCCAATGATATGTCTTTAATTTTAGTTATGATGACACTTTATACAACACTGATTTTCTTATACAGCATGTCAAGAATCACAACCACAAAGAGGTTAAAATTAATCCATGCATATTTCTGATTCGGAAAATAAATATTACAGACTACACAACATTCTATCCCAGTAACATGGTAAATCATAACTAACACACACCAGCACATCTGACTCCATCACCAGACCATCCGTCACTGCAGGTGCAGCGGTAATGTCCCGGTGTGTTGACACAGGTGGCGTGTGTGTCACAGTTGTGAGTGTTAATCTCACACTCATTAACATCTGGATCAGAGCATAAGAGATTACACTACATACCAATACAAACACCACTAACAACTAATGCAAACTGCGGAGTATTAACTTATCAGTGTAAGTACAGTATGGTAGTATTTATAATACTGAGTATAAGGTACACATCACACACAGTAAATTATTCTGACGTGTTTTTCTGGATCAGGTCTCACCGGTGCAGCCAGAAGTTCCTTTCTTCACGGCGTAACCCATCTCACAATGACAGATGAAAGAACCCTTGGTGTTCTCACACTCCCCAAACACACAGATGTTGGGGTTGAGTTCACACTCATTCACATCTGCAAACAAAGGCCCCACAGCAACAGACTAAACCAAAATCAGATCGTCAGATGACTGTGTACATTTGAAGAGAGAGCCAGTACAGAAAGACTTGATACTTCTGGTAAAATATGCATCCATTCTTGTGACACTAACTTTTAAAACATGCATAGAATTAACACGGATATTGTCTTATTTTTGTTCTTATTTGTTTTATATATAAACTTGAGAAATGTGCTGTGTAAGCTGAATTATATACAAATGAACAAACATATAGTTTCTTAAAAAAATAAAAAACAGAACTGAGCAGCATACCAATGCATGTCCTCATGTCCACAGAAGTCATGAATCCTTCATGACACATGCAGTAATATTCTCCAGGGACATTAGTGCACTGACCACCTTCACAGATGTCAACATGCTCTTCACATTCATTCACATCTGATGAGACACAGAGAGAGACAGGAGAATCAATGCATGTATGTGTACAACCGGACATACAGTTTGTTCCTCAGTATTCAATAAAATTGCAATTTTATACAGCACTAAATCAGATATGTTTGGAAATAAACAGCTGCTGTGTTAGATATAGAAGACGGTGAACAGTGGTTTATCAGGTTTGGTAGCAGATCAGCTAGTGTTAAGAACGCACCTGCACATGTCCTTTGGTCCGGCGTCAGAGTGTAACCCTGACCGCAGCTGCAGGAGTAACTCCCCTCTGAATTACTACAGTACACCTCACATCCTCCATTCTCTATCGTACACTCATCTATATCTGAAGAGTGCAAAGGACATCAAAACAGACATATATTAAAATATATATTAAATGTATAAATATATTAAAGTTTTTAAATATATTCACATAGAAAACAGCCATTTTAGATTGTAATAATATTTCTCAATGATACAGTTTTTACTTTTGAGTAGTGTGAATGTATACCCACTTTGTGATTATATTCTCTTTTTTTCATGAATCTATCTATTCATTCACACATGAGAGTGGATGGGCAAGAAGTAAATGAACAGATAAAATGGAGAGTTAAAAGTCATTAAAAGTTCATCTAAAGCTAATCTAATGCAAAACTCTGACCTGTGCAGCCTTTCCTATCAGGTGTCATCCGGTAACCAGAGTTACAGGAGCACTGGTACGTCCCCACCACATTCACACATCTGCCATTAAGACACAATGTGCTGCTCAACTCACACTCGTTCACATCTGCAGACAAGCAGTAACATCCATCAGATCCATGAGAATAATCAGACAAAATCAAGACAAAATATATTTGCGTTAAAATGGTTTATTTCAAGAAGGGGTCTATGTATGATAATGTAATTGAGCTGAGAAGTTCTAAATAGTTCTGTAGATGGTGTCTACTGAACAAACAAGAGTGAGATATGATATAATTTAGTTCTCACCATCACAGGCACTGCCGTCCACAGACAGCTGATGACCAGGTGGACACACACACCTATAGCTGCCATCAGTATTTTCACAGGTGCCTCCATTACACAGTGAGAGGTTTAGTTCACATTCGTCAATATCTACAGCATCAAAAAAGCACACACATACACACCACAATGATGGTTACTCTCATAATCATGGCTCTATAAATTCATGTCAAAGAAAATACTCATGGGAATCCTTCCACCCTGTCTAGTTTCCCGGGATCCTATTGCAACTCTGGGGACATCCTTAAGAAACCTTTGGAAACCAACAGTATGTTTAGTAATGCATGGCTTGCAGACACAGCTACTACATACACTGATCAGGAACTTTAAAACAACTTTAAAACCACTGACAAGTGAAGGGAATAACATTGATTACATTATTACAATGGCACCTATCAATGGGTGGGATATATTAGTCAGCAATTAAACAGTCAGTTCTTGAATTTCATGTGTTGGAAGCAAGAAAAATGGGCAAGTGAAAACATCTGAGCGACTTTGACAAGGGCCAAAATAGTGATGGTTAGACAGCTGTGTCAGAACATCTCTCCGTATGCAGTGGTTAGTACCTACCATAAGAGGTGCACAAAAGGACAACCAGTGAACCGGCATCAGGGGCATGGGCACCCAAGGCTCACAGATGCACATGGGGAGCGAAGGCTAGTCCGTTTGGTGCAATCACACAGAAGATCTAGTGTAGCTCAAATCGCTAAAAAACTTAATGCTGGCCATGATAGAAAGGTGTCAGAAAACACAGTGCATCACAAACTGCAGAGTGCCCATGATGGCCCCTGTCCACCACTGATAATCTTTATAATAGATCTTTATAACTGTATAGCAGATGCTTACATAAAATAATATAAATATCAGTAGTTGTATCTGATTTAGAATGAGCAGAAATCTGTGAGAAATATAACGACCCAAAGACAAAAGAACTGATAAAAAAGCTGTTATAGGAGCAACAGCCATGTGGGCAGCGCTGTGTCATATGTCATAGCTATGCACAAGGTGTTTGTCACAGCCCCAGACTTATTTGTTCCTTAATGACGTCATCAGCGACTAGTCGACTTCGACTCGACTTTCATCACATAAAAGTCGACTTCAAAATATCAGAAGTCGTTCAACTCCTAGTAGTCACTCTATTTTTCTAATAATATGTTTTAGTAAGAATGATCAAAACATATAATGCAATGCAATACAATGATGATTGAGAGTGTAACAACGTTCGTAGATCGAGAAGAAGGGGCGGGAACCGGTGAACATTTAAACATAAAATTTAAATAAATAAACAAACACAAAACGAAAGTAAAAGCGGCAGACCCTCACGGACGACTACCGCATAAAACATATTAAATCAACAACATAAATAGTCCAGGCCTGGTCCTCTCTCGTCCTTCACTGTCTTGGCTTCTCCTTTTATCCTTCCGGAGCTCCTCCGTGGGACTTGAGACCAGTGAGTGGTGCAGGTGTCTCTCATTATCATTTACTCCACCGGCTTCGCTCCATTCCCACAGCTCTCGGCCCCGCCCCACTCATCACATACCCCCATCGCCCCTCACAGGCCGGGGGGGACTCACGCTGCCTTTGTTTGCGTTCTACTTCCCCCCCTCCCCACTCCGGGGAAGGCGATCACGGCAGCCGTGATGTACCTGGGGGTAAGGACAGACGAGGAGAGAAAAGAAAACGGAAGGATGAGGAGAGAAAGAGACGAGAGAGGAAAAGAAAAGAAAAAAAATTCTCGGTCTGGTTCCCGGACACACTGCCGCTTGGTCCTCAACCAGCTGAGAGGCTCTCACTCGCGGTGCCATGCGATTGTACTGGACATCTTTGGTGGATGGCTCGATGCTCCTCCGCCTCCTGGCGGACGGCGATGGCTCTTCCTGTTGAGGGCAGCGAGTCCCCCATTACCTGCTCCTCCCCAAACATGACGGACGACAGCAGGCTCCGGCCTCCTGGTGAACGGCACCAACTCCTCCGCTCCCTCTCGGACGGCAGCCACCCCTCCTCAACCCAGGAGTGCGGCAGCGAGCTCTCTGTCCCACCTTGTCTTCCATCGCTCCAGCACCACCGCCTCGGGCAGCCAACGGCGGTCTCCGCTTCTTCCTGCTGCCCGATCTCCTCAGCACTGTGATCCCCCTCAGCAGCGAGGGCTCTCTGACAGCGTGTCCCTCCTTCCTCCCGGGTTTTGGCACCAATGTAACAAAGTTCGTAGATTGGGAAGAAGGAGGTAGGAACCGGCAACCTTTAAACACAAAACTTTAATAAACAAATAAACAAACACAGAACGAAAGTAAAAGTGGCAGCCCCTCACGGGCGACTGCCACATAAAATAAAACAACAACATAAGCAGTCCAGGCCAGGTCCTCTCTCGTCCTTCACTTTCGTCACTCCTCCTTTTATCATTCCGGAGCTCTTATGTGGAACTCGAGACCAGTGAGAGGCGCAGGCGTCGCTCATTATCATTTACTCCACCGGCCTCGCTCCGTTCCCACAGCTCTCAGCCCCGCCCCACTCGTCACAGAGACATGAAAATAAACAGTTCTCAAAAGATTTGAGCTTTTTAGAGGCTTGAGAATATAATTCCTCCACTGAGAAACAGTAAAAGTAAAGCTTCTGGAAACAAACATTCCTCAAAATCCTATTGATCATATCTGAGACTCACTGAATTTTCTTAAAAAAAAAAAAACAATGTCTAAAAAAGCTGAGCTGCTTCAGTCCAGTAAATGTTCATCTTGAAATATTAGGCAACTAACAATATCAAAGTTATTCTTATGTTTATAAAAATCAGTAAAGATTTCACAGGAAAAAGACATGTGAAGCACGATGTAATGGACTTAGTATTGGTTTTGAATCCATTTGAAGTTTATTAAAAGCAACAATCCAAATCAACAGGTGAAGAGATGGTCAAAAACACAAGCAGGTGTCGAAGATCAAAATAGACAGTCCAAATAAGCAGTTAAATCAGAAACAGTAATCGATTAAACGAAGAGTCCAAAAAACAGGCAATGGTCATAACAACAGACAGTAACAATGGCAATGGAAAATGCTCAGTAAGGCAGGCAAGACTGGCAAGACTTTGCAACATAATACAGGAAAGCATGGCTCTTTATACATGGCAAAAAGGAAGTGACTGTAGAGGAAATTGAGTGAGATCATTATTTTGGTGAGGGCTCCCTCTGGTGGTTGGAGGGAGCAGATGTGTTCTTCAGATCCCGGTGTTCTTCAACTGGGGTGTCTTAGTCTTCAACCAAGGGGTCTGGGTGCTGGGCAGTCCTGGTGTGTTTGGAAAGTAATATAAGGATCCAGAATATCCCTGGCAGCTACCCAGGATCTCTCCTCTGGTCCGTATCCCTCCCAGTCCACCAAATATTGCTTCTGGCTCCTTCTTCTTCTTGAGTCCATAATTTCCTTTACCAAGTATGCTGGATTTTCATCAATCTCCAGTGGTGGTGGAGGTTCAGGTTCCATGATTGGTGCAGGGTGGACCGGTTTCAGCAATGATAAATGAAATGAAGTAGAGATCCAGTAATTAGCAAGAAGAACAAGTCTTTAGGTCACAGGATTTATCTGTGTGGTAATGCGGAATGTACCTACATACCTGGGACTGGGCTATCTGCTAGGTAGCCGTAGACGCAGGTCTCTTGTGGAAAGCCAGACCCTCTGGCCTGCCTGGTGGTTGGGGTAGGGATGCCTCCAACAGTCTGCCTGTATCCTTTGAGCATGTATGGCACCCGTTCACTCCTCCTAATCCAACCTCCAGGGAGACAGTGTCAAAATTTGATGAAGGGAAGTGAGAGAGTGTTTATTACACACTTCTTTCTTTTAAGCACTGTGGCCTTCATTGGGACAGGAGTTGCAGTGATGGTTGGGTTGGCCACAGTAAAAGCATAGGTACTCTCCTCTAATGAGACTCTGGTGTAGCCATTTTGCATGGGTTCAGTAGACTGGAGCATAGAGAGGGCAGCAGCTTCAGTGGGAATGGGAGAAATGTTGGATTGTTTGGAGTGACGCTTGTTACAAATGAGATTGTCCTCTTGTGCATCATCGTGTTTTTGAGATAAGTGACTGTGAATAGCTTCTTGGCCTATTTCTCCTGTATCAGGATCACTATTTTTATATCCCAGCACTAAAAGACTTGTACCTCAGTTACACACCTGTTGTTGTTTCCCCTCGACCTGCTCACTATATACTTGTCTGCAAATGTGCCCTGCTCCTGGAAATGATATCCTGATCATATTGTGAGACTTACCTGTGGTATACACACCCTGATTTACTCCTGCACCTGTGTATGGTGATCTGCCCTGGGTTATACTCACCTGAGATACACTTACCTGAATATGTAATTCTTTCCATTGTTATGCTTCAAGTTGGTAATGCTGATAAACTGTGAAAGCCAACCGAGTTATTACCATATGTTTTCCTGGAAAGTCACGCTATCTTTTTATCCTGTGGTTATCAAGTTCTGTATTATGTTTCCAGCTGGGTGCTCTGCACATGTATCTCCCTGTTATGTGAAGCTGCCTTTGTTTGATTCATTCTGTTTCATTGAATAAATCCCACAACTGGGTTCACAACTTACCTTTTGTGTGGTTTTGTTATGTTTTGCAAATATACCAGGGGCGGGAAGTCCACATAAAAACACATTTTGAAAGTACACGTTATTTGGCAACATGCTTGATCAAACCATAGACTGTATAAAAACATGGACGTAGTGTCCGTGACGTCACCCGTTGAATTCTGAAGAGCTGTTTTGAAGCCCAAAGTGGGCGGAGCCGGTCGTCGCCATCTTGGCAGA